TCATCAGATGAAAAAATAAGCTAGTAGTATGTTGTGTTCCCTTGCGAGATATTTTATAATAAACTCCTTGGTTTTTATTCATGGATGCACATACATATTTTTTATTAATTGATAAAAATACCACTCTTAATTATCATTCTGTTTTTCAGATTATATGACTGCATCGGATTAGTATGATATCCTACACCAATGTTGTGAGCAGTTTATTTATGCTAGGATAATGTAGTAGGAAATGTATGCGTTTGTAATAAAGATGATTTATTGACATCTGATGTCTATTAGATGTAAAAGCTTATTTTAAGATTATCATATCATTTTTGTTGTGAACTTTCAATTCTACAGTTTGAATAATATACCTAATTATCTAGAGTACAATCAGGTATTAAGTTCATTTATTATTCATCATTTACTACTCATTTTGTTTTCTTCCTTGCATGTTATTAGAATTCTATTTTGCATTTGCAGTTGGTAATTTATATTGTGAACTTGATATGGATAATTAATAATTTTCTATTGAATTATCTTAATTTCAACGATACACATGTGAACATATATGATATGAATATTAATTATTTTGATTATTAATTATTATTTTGATATTAATTATTTTAATTTTAATTATATTATATCAATTTAGTACATCATTCTTTAAGTGCATTGCTGAAATTAAAATAATTTAATAGAAAGTATTTACTAGTGTATCAAATGCTTAGTGTAAAAAGGGTCAATATTTATAAACATATCATTTCTCTCATTTAACATTTGATAAAAAAAAAACGTGGATGAGATACAGCCTAGCAAGTTAATAATACTTCAACAAAAATAATATTAAAACAAGACTAATCATTTCCTGTAGTTTTTTTTTTGACACTGAATAAACAAATAATGTAGTTTCCAAATAGTTTCATCACATTACAATTTTGAGAAATTGATAGTGTAAATTGCAGAAAAGGTAGAAAACCAATGTAAGCCAGCAACAGATAAAATAAAACTTAATTAACGATCATTTCGTTTGATCTCACACTCTCTAGTAATGTCTTACTGAGCACGTTCGCAATAATTGATCGTCATCAATATATGTAAGTTTTATCCAAAGATTTTAATAACCATTTTGATTAGCATTTTAAGATTTTAATTATATTGTTTTGTATTTGATATATTGTAGATAATTAAAAATGTACTTGTTTGAGTATTCAGTTAAATACACAACAGATAACCTTTAAATTTTAACTATCGACATTAAATAATATTAAGCGACTGTCATATTGTAACTATAATATGTAATGTATTGAAGTTAATAATTTATTGCAATCAAACATGTTTTTAGGACTTTTAGCTCTTAAAAGGAATTTTTTATATCGACTATGGTTAATAAGATACGGTTAAATGTAAGATTTATTGTGGAAAAACTGTGAATTAGGTTATTGACAATTTACTAAACAGCTTTCAATTATATTTATTTAAACTTAAGGAATTTTTAGACTAAATACGAATCGAATGTCAAAATTAACAAATTCAAAATTATTAGAAGGACTTTTGTATACATATTAATACATAAAATACAATTTTCGCAACAATTCAAATATTTTTCGAATATTTTTGAAGTTTTTAAAATTTGCTATATTGAATTTGTTAATTATTACATCGGATTTAGCGATTTAGTTAAGGGTTATCGCAGATAAAATTCCGTAACAGTAACTGTAAGGTATAAAGGTAAGCCAATGAATCAATCAGGATATTACTTTAGAGCTACGTAATCTGACGGAAATATAAATAACAATAAAACTTATCCATAATATAGAATAAGTATATAAAAGTTTCTTATAAGAGAATTTACTCTTCTTATACAAGATTAATCAAATTTATTTAAATCTTATTTTATAAATTAAGTTTAATTAGAACATTTTTTTTTCAAATTAATAAAAAGAAAAAGTAAGACAGCAATCAGAACATATGCCTTGATGTACAATATTAAATGTAAAAATAATCTCATGTATAGATATTAAATTCAATTAACTATTAGAGAGAGAGGGGGGAGGGAAGGGAGAGAGAGAGAGAGAGATCAATATAAGAATGTTTTATAAAGAATAAATAATTCTAAACTTATCTGAGGCCTTGCAATAGAACTATCACTATTGCAAGGCTTCACATTCTCTACGACCGCTTGGTATCAGGTTCGCCAGTTCGCCAGGAAAAGGGACGAATTTGCTAATGGCAATCTTCAAAGTGTTCCCTCAACTATCAGGGTTGGGTAATATTTTAAATAGTTCCATTTTTAATATGTATTTAAAATGGAAATAGTATTTTACATTTTAATTTGAAATGATTTTTGGAAAACCATTTTCATTTTACATTTAAAATAAAATCATGTCATTTAACCATTTATAAAATAGGTAAATGGTTTTTTTTTAACAAATTTTTCCTAGAATAGTTGACGCATAAGAAGAACTAAATCCCATATGGGACTTATTCATAAATAATTTATATGTAATTTTATGTAATTTTATTTCGTGTTAATTGGAATATATTCTTCGTTTAATTTTAAAGAATTGTGTCGACTCTTACTTTGCCCTTTATTTATTGTTATATAATTTATATGAATATTCAAATAAACTGCAAATTAAACTGTAAAGAGAAAATTAATTCCAGATAGTCCATAAATATCGAATCTTAATAAAAAAATGAATGTTCCAGCTTAATGTATTATAAAATAGAATTCAAAATCCGGGCAAATGAGAATCATAGTAGTTAGTACGCAAATGTAATTCTAAGTTTTTATTCAAGAATCATGTGATACCTATTTATCCGGATTTTGGATTCTATTTGGTTTTGAATTTGGAGAGTCCGTAAGAAGATTACATTATTACTATTTTATGTAAAATACTTTCTGTAAATGTATATTACTCTTAATATTTAATTTTGACCGTAACTGACGCTTTTCATATTAATTTGATTTATTCAAATAAACATTTCCAAATCAAAATATTAAAAAATTAAAAATATCCCGTCAGAAATACTTCATTTATAATACCGTAATCAGGGCTTCGAATTACGTTGAAAATGAATTTCAAACATAAAATACTTTTAAAGTGTACACCCTAGCAAAAAACTACGTAGAAACAAGATTTTAGAAATTCTTTGTTTTTCGTTTAAATATTTATAATGAAATGTAGAGTACCATTGTTTATTTATTTGAAAAACTAGGAAATCCTCCGCCCTTAAACAACGTCATTCTACGTCTTACTACGAATATTTACGAGAAACTAATTTCTGAGACAAACAAGAAGCGTCAATAGTAATTAATGATGCTTCTGATTGGCTGTCATGAAACATTGCGACTGGCGACAGTGTGTTGATAATTTATTGTAGACCACGCTTTACTGTTACGGAATTTTGTCTATGGTAGCCCTAAGAATCCTTCAATTTAGGACTACATTCGAAACTATCATCCGGGTGCCCTCATGTATCATCTTATCCTTGTTTAACATTGGATGAACAACAAATCCCTGGATTAGCGCTTTCGGAAATATGAGCAAGAGCATACCTTTGTCTTTATATCATGATTGCAATAAAACATCTGCATGTCACATTATAATTATAATATTGTATATTTAATACAACAAAATACTTAACAATCTTTTTCTGCCACTAACTGTTTTCTCAACATTGTAACGTAATAAAGCTTTGGAAATCGGATTTATATTCAGCATTCAAAAAAACTACTGGCTTTATATGACTTGTTTCCTTCCAATGTTAGAAAAAAGTCATTTTTTTATCGAACAGTGTAATCGATGCTTCTAAAATGTTGAAATTATATAATTATATAATTGAAATAATATCTCGAAATGCTTTGTGTTCATATATTATGCATACAACATTTATTTATAACATATACGTTATCTCCAATACAAAGATGTAATTAATACATAGCTATTTAGTAGGTATAGTTATATATTAAAAATATATGTACGTAATCGGATAACTATTACATAGTTTTTCAATTAATAATTGAGCCTAAAATATCTTACAGGTTTCTCTTAAATTACTCTAATTCTCTTCGTTATTCGCAGTAAGTTTTCTTATAGGTATGTCTTTTGTCATGTATCAAAATCACATTCTGGCAGGCGCGGTCCTTTATGACATGACCGCTTTGGATAATCTACATAAAATAGAGTTATTACATACGCACGAAAACGTAACATTTATGTGAAGAAGCAGTAGATCAGAAGATTTCATATGTTTATATGTCAAAAGATGCTTACGATTGTTATAATCTTCATGAGATCGATAAGAGTCTGGGCTAATTATTGGGACATTCTTTATACGATGCGATCCCCATTCATCTTCATGTAGCTATAGCGAAATAAAAAACAAAATTAACTTTGGACAATAACTTAAATTCTGCTAAATTTAAGTGAGAATTTTTAAGATTGAGAAAAATTTGTCGTATTCAAGAATTTTACGAACATGCGTTTTGTATTTTTTCCTTTCGTTCTGTTTCCGATGTTTTTTATTTACATAAAACTTTCCTTTCTTTTTCTTGAGTCTGTATTCGCTGTTCCATTGCTGATCTTCGATTTCACTTGCATCCTTAATCAACGGTTGCTCCTCCACATGTTTCTGTAAAAAAAAAAAATCAATTTTCCATCTTCTCTATTATTTCTCAAAATTTAATATTACATTGCAATTTTACCTCTTTTTCAAATGAATTTTCCCTGGTAATAAGACCAGCGATTCGCTTTACGCAGAATTTCTTCTTAGCGCAACACATTATCCATAGTGACAGCAAACATATCAACAGTATCGCGCCAATACTCGCCAAAGTTACCATTACAGCGGAGAAAGAATTCCAGAGCTATGAGAGAAAATGATTTATGTACCGCAATAATGTGAAAGATTGATATTAAAAATTATTTGCTAGTTGTCTTAAAGATTAATGCCAGTTTCTACACTGATAAATATAACTTATATCATCATCATCATCATCATTATCAGATGTCACTAAAAATGATTTTAGAAAAGAAATACATATATTTTTTACACCTAAATTTCGTTCCAATTCTATCGTATTTACATATGTAAAATGTAAAATTTTGAGAGAGCTATTAAACATCATTATTAAGCCTATTAATATCTAAAAGAGAAAATTATAAAAAAGTAAATCTTCTCTTCATTTAATTAAGAGAGGCAAAGTAGATAAATATTATACTTTCGAGCAATAGCGTGTATAGGCCAAATCAGGCAAAATAAAATTGATGAAGTTAATTCGTATTGCATTGTAAGAAAGCAATAAATATATAAATATATGAATAAAAGCTGATATGAATTAATTTTTTAAAATTTTTGTCTAGGAACTCTTCAGACATACTGTGCATACATTTTACAAGCTGCATCGGATGCGTACCATATTGTAACAACCTTTTGTCGTTGGATTAGTGCACGTACGACAAACTCTGGCGCCGTGATTCGGTTGATACGTACCGGGTGGGCATCTTTTACAATGCGATATTCCGTCCTCGCTATAAGTGCCCACGTTGCAAGGAACTGAAAGAAAATCCGTTAGCTGTTAATTAATTGATTATATCGTATTAATTTTCCTGACATGTGCGCCACTTACCACAATGTGTATCACGAAGACCATATCCCGCTGGGCAGCTGGAGAATAAACCGATATTACTGGATCTCCCGGCGGATACGTTTGCATCGGTTTTCCCTCTCTTCCGTCTTGCGAACGACGACTTTTCAACGATCGGCACCAGTCTCTGCTCGTAATGCGGTAATCTGAAAATAACTATAGTTAAAGAACTCTATAGAGATGTATCGTGAGTTATATGAAGCAACATTCCTTTATTTTAATCCAATAAAATTATAAGTATTCATTAATTATTTTATCACATTTTGCTGCAGAGAAAGAGAGAGAATATATGTTCTTCCGAACAGAAAAGTTAAAAAATTCTTTGTAACGAAACTTTAATGAAAATGCAATATACATTACCGCTCAAAAGTATTTTGTCCACCTCGATTTTAATAGTTTTTTATACACTTAAATTTCATTCTAATTCTACTATATTGTCTTTACATATATAGAATATAAAATTTTGAACTATTAAACATTATTATCAAGCCTAACATCTAAAAGATTAAGAAAGATTACAATTTTCTTTATTTAATTAAGAAAGACAAAGAATGAATAAATATTTTTGAGCGATAATGTGTACAGACAAAATCGGACAAAATAGAATGGATGAAGTTAATTTTTGTATTGTAAAAAAGTAGAGAGTATGTTGCGAACAAGGTAAAACGAATATATGTTTGTCAACTAACTAGTTTTCCCGAGGAAGATTTGCAGATTTTTACTCAGTATCAGCGAGAGTTTATCTTGAATGGCTTTAAGACAGAAGACATTGCAGCGTTTGGGATCGACCGTCATTAGTTTAACGATATGCGATGGCACTAACAGAATATTCACTGTAATCTATGACCAAGAATAGCGCACATTAATAGATCAAAATTAAGAGGGAGAATGTATCTTATTTTATGTACAATAGTAGAGGAAGGTCATTGAAACTATTTTATTTTTGGACAATATTTCTTAAACTGAAGCTAAAAATAAAACTTTAGAAACATAAATAGAAACTAGAAAGTGTCTTTTATCAGAAAATATAGCAACTTTTATAATACTTTTTATAATTTTGCAATAATCAACTTTTTTGTAAGCAAAAATGAGAGTCTGACAAAATGGACCTCAAAACTGACAGTAAATAGTAATGTCACATATTCCTATATTCTTTTTCTTTTATAAGAACCTTCTACACAAATACTTACAAATAAATATGTATATTTTCTAAACTCTTTTCACTTTTATATAAATTATTTGTTTTTTGTTCATTTATACATATACATAAGTACTTTATGCTGTTTTGCAAGACGCAAACATGTAACGTGACAGTTTCTTTTTTTGAAAATTTTCTTATAAATATACGATTGCCTTCAGTTTTGATATTATCAATATTGCTATATATGGCTATTTGATATTATAATGCAACACTATAAAGATTAAAGGTCACTTTACGATTCGCCGATTAGCTTAATCGGCCGATTAATCCATTGCAATTGGGCAATCGCATTTATCATTTCGTTTAACGGTAAATGCTATTGGACTAATCGGCTGATTAAGCTAATCAGCGAATCGTAAAGTAACCCTAAGGTATAAGCTTATAGTCTGTTTTATAGAATGCTGATTAACATTGCGAGGCATCGAGTGGTTTGCCGCTCGGTGCGATTGACTCGCAATTTGTAGATTCGGGTTCAATCTCACTTGCGCCCAAATACGCGATTTTTTCACGTTAAAGAGCCGAAAATGACTTTATCTGGTGATTAAGAAATCTTTGATTATCAGCGCCGTTTGGATCCGGCGTTAAATTGTAGGTTCCATATATATCTGTGGATATATGTATGGATCCCCCAGGCTGGAGATTGGATATTTTTAACAATCTAATTCCGAAAAATAATCCATTGTTACGAAAACCTCATGAGAGATAGGCCCTGTCCCGTCTTGGGATGTTGGTTGGATCGGATGATGGTTTACATTGCACTTCATAAAACTCATATTAAGAAAAATATATAAATAAAACTGATTTAAAGGAAACTACAAACATATGTAAAGCGATATAATATTATCAATGATATAAATTATGCAATTTGCAAAAGAAAATTCCATAAATTTTATTTTCGCATTTGTTTTTAGCTGATTTTGTAAATACAGACAAGCTACAAATGTATGAGTTTTTACCTCTTTAAATATCTAAACAAATCATATTTTTATCAGTATTAATAAAATGCAATATATAGTTAAGTTTTTCCAAGAAATAAGAAAGTATCTCTTTAGGAGATCTGTGTCAGTATCGATAACTTTCCTCTAACATAAGGAAACGTACTTGACTTCGGGAGCAAGACGGCGTTAAGACGTAAGCGTTGCAAACATCTGCCTCGCATATAATATTGTTCAATTTTGGGGGTAGATATGTTACCAGCACATCCAAGTCCCCTTCGTCACAAGATCGTACATGATAACGATTTTCTCCGTGCACAATGTACCTCGGCAGCGTGATAACTGCAAAAGACCTCTTTTTAGCTCGACGAATCATTTATCGCCACTTCGAATTCGTTGAAATATATAATAAATTTCAATTAGTGATTCACCTTGCAAATGGATTTCGTAAGTGGTTTCCACGGATTCCTCATTATCGGGGCTCGTGTACGTCATGACACAGGTGTAATTTCCCGTGTCTTTCGCGTTCACATTTCGCAATTCCAAATCGCCGTTTTCCGTCACAAAACCTACAACGAACGATTCCGTAAGTTCCAAATTTCACCGAAAGAATCTCAGGTTAATTATACGAAAAATTGGATTCTGGTGAGTTAGTTTTCACATATAATGTAACTTGTGTAATGTAGAATATATATAAGAAATGTATCATAAACATAAGACTCAATAATGAACAGTTTTTTAAGATATAGTATATCCAACGTGTAAAACTACCGTCTTTCATACATCATAATTTAAAAATTATTCGATATTAGGCCTTATATCTATGACGCCTTTCGTTCTGAAATGCTTCTTTTCGAATTCGAATGTGACAGGACAATGTGATGCCGCACCGAAGAGTGCAATGCCGTCCGTTCTTTTCCATGTGTAACTCGGTCTGTTAATGCTTGATAGCCATGTGATACCATTGCCGTCTTGATTACAGGGTAAATTGAGATTAAGACCGGGTAATGAGATAACATCGTTATCTGGAAAAAATTCTTTATATTATTACCATATTTAATATTAAATATTTGAAAACTTGCGATGGAAGTACCGCTGTCAAGTTCCGAGTTGCTTTTCAAATTGTCCTCCAGTTCTTCCATTTTGATATATTTCTGTCCCTTAAGTGATTCGGCGTTGTAATGCGGTTGAGGAAATTCTCTGGCTTCCTCGATGTCGGAACCCATTGAGATCACTATTTTATCCTGTACTTCTTTATATTCGCTACAATTAAGTGCCTTAATTTCGTCTAATGAGAAACTTGTTCTATCAAGTACAGAGCTTATATTGTTAATTACATTCGCGATATCACAGATGCAATTGAAACAATTATGAATTTTTTGTTTATGCGACGCAGGTATTGATTTATTTTTATGATTTATGATATTAAGATGCGTTACTTTCTCACTGTTTTTCTGATCGTCGGTGGACCCTACTTGAAGATATTGATTGACAATCGTCGTTTTACGATATGCATTTTTTTTATTTACGACATCATTATCTGTATTATGAAGTGAGTGTAAATTTTGTGACGTTCGCGATTTTGCTAGTTGCTTCTTTTTGTGTTTGTTTGTATCTTCGTGTTTAACAATTTGACGCTTCAATTTGTTCGCATTAGCAATGTACAGCTTGCGGTTTTTCACTATTGTATCTTCGCTGGTACATCGGAAATCGTTAAGTCTTACTATTTTTTTTTTTTCGAAACTTTCCTGCTTGTAATGATTTGGTTTGTGCTTTTGCGACTTGCGTTTTAATTTTTTTGCTATCACCCTGGGTTGCTTTGTTCTTAATTCATAACGCAATGCATTTATTCTCGTTACGTTTTTAAGACTGGCATCTCGTTTTTCAATAGAAACATGTTTCGTTATCCTATTGCTATTAAGGTGGCGTTTGTAATAGGAAATATTGGATTTTATTTTGTCATTCCTTTTAAGAACAACATCAAAACAGGTCGTTCTGGTGATCGATTCTTCGATGGTTTTATCAATTGTCGTATATATTACAACTGATGGTTCCGTAACAAAATCGAGTTCCCACGATCTAGTGCCGCCTAAATGATACATTGTATCTTTTTCAGTAGGCCACGTTTGGTTCAATAATTCTTTTTCATTTTCTGTCATTCTTTTATCTTTATTTCCGTTATCTAATAATCTCCCATCATATGTTTGTGTTGATGTTTCCTGTTCCTTATAATTCATATAATCTATAATATTAAAAAAAATTTAACAGAGAAATATATATGTTACAATGTCATAATACACAAGAAAAAATAGATTCTCTAATATCTGCTGCAATAAAACCTTAATGAATGAAGAAATGAAGGTATAATTTAACTAGAAAAAAGGATAGCGATGTTAACTATAAAGTTAATAATTATACAAGTTTTATAAAATTAATGTATAGTTGAATAAACTGTTACAGTTAATTGCAACTATAATTTATTCAACTATATATATTAATTCTAAAAAGTTTATATAATTGTTAACTTTATAGTTTCCATCATTATGTTTTTCTCCGAGTGTGATTATTTGTGCAACGCACACAAATAGTATTATAACGTAAATAAATGTAAAAAAATGAAAACCCATAGAAATGACCATTCGAAAAGTTAATTTTTTTAGCATATACCTTCTCTTAAATCCTCGATATAGTCATTATATTCTTCTATTTTTTTCTCCATTTTGTCTGATATTTCATTATCTTCATTTTTCTCTTCAATCTTATAGTTTGGTGTTGTAATTTTCTTATCTTTTCCAGATTCAGTTACATAAATATCATCATTTGATTCAAATAAAATTGCTGTTAGTTCGTCTTCATATGGTTTAGCAGATATAACTTTATGCGTTTGTTTATCCTCATCGTAATTGAGGTGTAGTACGTTTACCGTATACATTTCATCTTCTTCAGCTGCACTTGTTGTTTTTTTATTTGAAATATTGGCTGTATTTTTCTTCGACCAAAATCGTTTATTGTTCTCTATCGATGAAACGTCTCTCTTTCGAACACTTGCTTTGTCGTTAATATAACAGTCACCTTTTTTTGTAGTAATCAAATCGTATCTGAAGAATGCGTTTCTCTTTCCATATTTCTTACTATCCAACATGAACGTTGCAGTTGGTTGGAACACACTTTCATGAGGATTAAAAACATGTTGTTTATATAGAGAAGTATTATTTTGAAAATCGTCGGTCGTGTTTTTTTGCATTGTAATCTTTTTTGGAAGTTTCTTCATTTTTCTATAAATCCTAGTGAAACCTTTAAAATATTGCAATGGCTTAGTGGTACTGTTGCTCAGCCATTCATAATCCGACAGCTGCAGTTTGTCAATCTTACGAATAGTCTCTTTCTCTCTTCTGCGATGCCGAAAATTTAATGGAACATTCCATCTCGGTCTTTTAATTTTCTTCGTACTTGGTGCGAAAGCGAGAAGCCTTCTGCTTAATCGACCAACTGATTCCTTTTCTTCACTTTTTTCCGGAAAGTACGGCAGACAGATCTTTCTAGTTACAATATCTCTTCTTCTTTTATCGAAAGGAATCGTTGTATTCTCTAAAACGTTTAGACAAATTCGTTTTGTCATTATTTCTTCTTCTTTTGTGGCAGTTTCTTCAGGAATATATGTTGTTTGTTTCTTCTCCTCGATGCCTTTCATTTCGGTATGTCGAATAATTCCTATCTTTGTAGTCGTTTGATTTTCTTTCTTTTCGGTTGTCCTTTTAATCTGCGTTGTTAATTGAGCTTTTATAGTAGTTATTTCAATTGGTGGCACTGGCGTTGATAAACTCCTGAGCATAGTCGATTTCTCGGATGGTATAATTGATGTTTTTTTCTTTTCAAATGCTTTCATATATTTATTAAATTCCATTATATCTTTTTCTAATCTTTTCTCTCTTTCTAGCAGAATCTTTTCTCTCTCTTCTAATTCGCGCTCCTTCTTGCGCAATTTTTCTTTCAATTTTTCTATTTCCTCATAGTACTTTACCTCTGTAGTCGTGCCAATAGCCATAGTCGATAAAGTGATCGTAAACTCTAATTCCGGTGAAGTGAATAAAGGTTTACTATAAATATCTATATAAGTTGCTATGTATGTTTCTTCTGTAGTGTACCATGTAGGGGTTGTAACTGAAGTTACACTGATTTCTTCAAATCTTTCACTAAATGTAGTAATAGGTAAAGTAGTGAACTTACTGATGACTAATGTAATTGGACTAGTAATAGTAGATGAAACGAATGAAGGTTCGCTGTAAAGAGTTATGTAACTTATAGTATATATTTCTCTAACAGTATAAGGAGTCGTAGTTTCAATCATAGCTAAGCTGATACTATATAAATCTACAACAGATGTAGTGATATACGGTGTGAAAGTTATGTAATCCATAATTTGCATCCTCCCCTCTATCTCTTCTGTAAGATATGTAATAGATGTGCTTCTCTCCGTAGTGTAAGGCGCTTCCTCTATTTCTTCCGTAACGTATGGCATAAATGTAATCTCTTCTATCGCTTCCTTCGTCTTCTCCATAGTATAAGTCATAGATATAATTTCCTCTGTTATATTAAATGGAGTCGTTTCGAATGTATAACTTACAATATACATTTCTTTGGTAGCATACGAAATTGTAGTTTCAATTGAAGCTAAACCGATATTATACAAATCCATGATAGATGTAGTAACATACGGTGTCAAAGTTACATAATCTGTAATTTGCATTTCCTCTATCTCTTTTGTAATGTATGTGATAGATGTGCTTTTCTCTATAGTGTAAGGTATAACTGTTTCTTCTGGAGCATATGTCACAGATGTACTTTCTGCTGTAGTTACTTCTTCCATTTTTTCTGTAGTATATATCTCGGATATGATTTTTTCTGTGATACTGAATAGAGTCGTTTTAGTTGGAACCGTAGTAATATTGACTAAACTTAATGTAGTAGTAGATATCTCAAAACCAGAGGATGTAATTTCAATTTCTGTAGTCGACACAGTTAAATTTTTTGTACCAATAGTATAGATGGGAGATGTAATCGAGATACTGGTAATAGTTGTAGCATAGCCCTCGGTTGTTACTGTAATATTCTTCTCTCTCTCTTTTTCACGTTGCAATATTTTCATGCATTTTTTCTTTTCTGTGTCCCACTGTTTTTCTTTTTCCTTTAGCCTTTCTTCTCTCTCCGCCATCTCTTTTTCACGCTGTTTGAGATTATCGAGTCGTTGTAATAACTCAGCTTCGGACGTGATAAATGGTGTTACACTCGGAATAGTCTCTTCTTTTGTTATCGCTGAAATGGTAACTTCAGTGGTTTTGATAATACCTTCCATTTCAGAAGATGCAGTACTCATGGTTGTTACGTACACTTCAATAACTTCTCTTTCCGGTAATGTCGTTAGCGCTGATGAGATGAAAAGAGAAGTTAACTTTTCCACAATCTCAGTCTCAGTCTCTGAAACTTGTTCTGGAATTGTTGTCTTTTTCAGTGCAATCTTTGGAATTTCTTTAGGCTTTGTAATGAATTTTGGTGAGGTGAGCCAGATTCGCGTGAACCGTTCTATATCCGTGTACTTGGGGGGAATCGTTAGATCTTCAAGTGACTCCGTCGGAATTTTGAAAGTTGTTGAAGAGGGAAGAGTGTATTCTTCAGTAGAACCAAAAGTTAACCACATTGTTGTTGATTCTACTTCTTTACTTGCGGTGGACGCTGTTAACTCAGTTTCCATTTTAACCGTTGTTATATTTTCAATTACAGTCGATGTGGACGTTTCTAAGATAGAAGTTGAAGTAATTTTTTCGGTATAAGATATTGCTGAAGTAATCACGGTTGAAGTCACATTAATGTAAGTTGATGCGGTTTCAGAATATGTTAGGTATTTTGTAAACTCTGAAGTTTTTATTTTATATAAAGATGTCGTTGTGCCTTCAAAAGGCGGACTTGTTGCCTTTTCTTTAAGTAATTTCGTATATTTTTCTATCATAGCTGTTTCTTTTGTCGTGGTTTCGTATTCGTCATAATAATACCACCTTTCAGTCGGTATTTCAGTATCGTATCCTTCATATTCTTCATATTCTTCTTCGTAAAATGGCTCTTTTGCCACATAATATTCCGTCTCAGCTTCTAGCAATTCTTCAGTAGGTTTTGCCGAAATTGAAACAATGGGATAAATGGTTGTTTCGATAAGTAATATAGAAATTTGAGTAGTGTATGTTATTGATGGACTTTCAGTCGTTGACATCGTAAACTCTTCTGATACAGTTTTTGGCAATGTAGAAATAACTTCCGATGTAGTCACAGGAGTTTCCGATGTAATTATTATTGATAGAATAAATTCGGAAAATGGAGCAAGCGTGACGGCAATTGTAGCTTCTAAAATTGTTGCATATTCTAGTCTTTTAGTAGTTGGCAACAATGTAGCTGTAGTAATAGTTGTTATCAAACTTGTTTCTGTAATTTCTGTGACAGTTTCTTCCAAAAGTAAAGCAGTCGTCGCGGCTGTTGTGAATACCAAACTGGTACTCGTAATACTTGTTTCTATTATTGGCATTATACTTGTTTCAGTGGAAATTAATGTAACTTCTGATAATGACAACATTTCTTCGATTATTGTTTCAGGAGTAACAGTGGCGATTTTTTCAATCAATAAAGTTTCTTCAGTTATCGTAGGAAAAGTAATCGTTTTGATTATGGGAGAAGTTGCTTCCGAAGTCGTTTCGACAAAAAACGATGTAGTAAAAAACATTATTGATGTTATTTCTTCGATGATAGTAACTTCTTTTATAGTAATCCAAGTTGTACGTTCTGTAGTTGTTAGTTTAACTGTACTAACTGTTGCTATTTCTTCTCTCGTGGTTTCATAATATTCTTCAGATTTTTTAGTTTTTTCATATTCTATTACAGAAGACGTTGTACCTTCAATGGTCTCTGTTAAAAGAGATGAAGTAACTAAGGTAGAGGTAGTTTCATAAGCTGTTGTTCCAGTATCCATCACAATAGGCTTGATTGGAATTTGAGTGATAGAAGGTGTTGTTACTGTCAAATATGTAAGCGAAGATATTGTACTTTTGAGGATCTCTTCTGTAATTGTGCTAGCAGTTGTACTGAAGACTGTGTGTGTGGCGTTCACAGTTGAGATGGATGATATAGTCAGAAACGTTTCGATTGTGGATACTGTTGTAGGAATTGGCAATGCAGCTTTAGTGTGTAATGTCTCAAATGAAGGTGCTGTCATAGGTATTAAAGAAGCTGTAGTCTCTTTTATTAAAAATGTAGAAAGCGTAGTATTCGGCATTTCACTTGACATTGTGCTTGTAATCAATGATAGTGGCGTTGTCGTTGTTACTTTTAAAGATGTAGTTGGAACTGCAGTTTTAAAAGAAGTTGCAACAGCTCCTTTTATCGTAGTTAAAAACGTGCTAGAAATCGTAGTACACGGCGTTTCACTTAGCGTCGTATTTGTAATCAACGTTTGTAATAGCGTTATAGTAGGTGTTGTCAAAGAAATGAAAATGGTCTCAGCTGTTTCAGTAGTAATAATTGTAGTCAAAGTAGTCAGAGTTGATGTTGGAAAAAATTCTTTCGAGGACGTCACGGATAATGTAGTACTTTCTGACGTTATCACGGATGATGTAGTACTTTCTGACGTTGTCACGGATGATGTAGTACTTTCTGACGTTGTGAAAAACACAGTTGTAATAGATGTAGTCGAAGTTACTGGAATTTCTGTAGATCTTGAACTTTTGGTAATTGTTAAAATTTCGGTAATTATTTGAGTTTCGGTACTTGATGGAGTTTCCGTAATTGTTGGCGTTAAACCTTTAGTACTTACGGTTTTTCTAATCGTTGGAATTTCAGTAGTTGCTATAATTTCAGTAAGTGTTAAAGTTTCAGTAATGGCTGTAATTTCTGTAATTGTTGGAATTGTACTAGTCGTTGATATTTCGCTGGTTGTCGGAGTAAACGCTGTTTCTATAGTTGTTGAAATCTCAATAATTGTTGAAGTTTCGATAGTTGTTTTAATTTCAATAGGCGTTGAAGTTTCAATAGGCGTTAAAATTTTGGCACCCGTAGTTTTTTTGATAATTGGAGTTTTATAAGTTGTTAAAATTTCAGGAAATGTTAAAGTTTCCGTTGTTGTAGCTATAGTCGTTGGAATCGTACTAGTCGTTGATATTTCGCTGGTTGTCGGAGTAAACGCTGTTTCTATAGTTGTTGAAATCTCAATAATTGTTGAAGTTTCGATAGTTGTTTTAATTTCAATAGGCGTTGAAGTTTCAATAGGCGTTAAAATTTTGGCACCCGTAGTTTTTTTGATAATTGGAGTTTTATAAGTTGTTAAAATTTCAGGAAATGTTAAAGTTTCCGTTGTTGTAGCTATAGTCGTTGGAATCGTACTAGTCGTTGGAATTTCGCTAGTTGTTAGGGTTTGAATAGATGTTGGAATTTCGCTAGTTGTTTGGGTTTGGATAGATGTTGTTCCCGCAGTTATTACACTTTTATTAGTCGTTAGAAATTCGGTAATTTTTGTAATTTTTGTAGATGTAATTTCGGTAATTGTCGAAGTCTCGATGGTTGTTTTAGTTTCAATAGGCATTAGAGTTTCAGTAGGTGTTATGATTTTAGCACCTGTAGTTTCTTTGATAATTGGAGTTTTGTAAGTTGTCAAAATTTCAGTAGATGTTATAATTTTTGTTGTTGTTGTTGTAGCTATAGTCGTTGGAATTGTACTAATCATTAGTATTTTGCTGACTGTCGAAGTTTTGATAGTTGTTGGTGTTTCTGTAGTTGTCACAGTTTTATTAATCGGTAGAATTTTGGTAATTGTAGTTTTTATAAATGAAATCTCAGTAGTTGTTGAAGTTTTGCTAGTTGTCGAAATTTCGGTTGTTTTAGTTTTAAGTGACGTTAGAGTTGTACTGGGCGTTGAAGTTTTAGTACTTGTAGTTTCTTCAGTAATTGGAGTTTTAAGAGTTGTCAAAATTTCAGTAAGAATTGAAGTTTCTGTAATTGTTGTAGCTTCTATAGTCATTAGAATCTTCGTAGCTGTTGTTAAAGTTTCAGTAGTAATTATTATAATTTCAGTAGGCGTTGGAGTTTCAGTAGTCGTTGGAACTTCTGTAGCTGTTTCCTCCGCGGTTATAGTTTTCTCAATCTGTGACACTGGACTCTCGTCCTTCGGTATTAAAGTTGTTATCGCAATTTCTGTCGACGTACTTAAAATCGTTTCCGTTTGTTCTAAAATCATAGGCGAACTTGCGATTGCAGTAGTACTCTCAGCTTTATGCAAAGTTATATTCTTGCCAACAATAGATTCTGATGTTGCAATTTGAGAAGCTGTTGTAATTGCTAGAGATGTTAAAACTAATACGATAGAAGTTGTAGTTTTAATCATCAATTCTGTTTGTGTAATCCCAAATAATGGTAATGTATATAAAGATATATTTGTTTCAATAAATAAACTTTGTGTTATTTCCGTTGCCAGACTTGTTGATATACTTTCCACAATTTCTCCCTCTGTAGCAACGGTTACAGCGGATACCTCTTCAATTAAAGTTTTAGTAGCTACAGGAATTGTAATCTTTAAAGTAATATCCGTCATACCTTCTAAAAATAGAGTTAATAACATGATAGATTCGGTTGTAAAATTTTCTATCATTGGAATTGTGATGGGAATCTCATTTACTTCAGTAGTAATCGCAACAACTGGTGTTATAGTTAAATCAGTGATTGATATTGCAGCTTCCTCCATCGAAAGAATTGTTAATTCTGTCATATAAAGTAGTGGCAACGTAGTCGACATTGGTATTATAGAAGCACTTAACGTAACCGGCGATTGTGTCAATGATACAATCTCTGAAATTTTAGAAGTTATATCTTTGTACTCGTACTCTTTATATATGCTTGTATAATTTCGTTTATCGTAGTCCTCACTGTATCCAAAATCAGTAACTGTTGTGTATTCATATAAAGATGATTTAGTTATCTCGAAAATTTCTTTCTTTTCTGCGATTGTACTGGAAGCTGTAATTGTCGGTGTCTCGATAAAATACGGCAAAAATGTTAATGTAGGTACAAAAAATTCTGTAGTTGTGAAAATTAATGGTGGCAACGACTCCATTAGTTTCTGCGTGGTCCATATATCAGTAGCGTATTCTATGTCAGTTTTGCCCAATAATTTAAGTATATCAAGATAAGCCGTCGCTTCCTTATAAAATTGTGGATCAGTAGGATGAATTTTTTTTTTTTTATCAGAATCAGATATTTCGTTCGACATTGCTCTCTTCACATTACGTTGTGTCAGATCTCGTTTATCATCCGATAAGAAATGCGCTGAATTGTCCTTCTTTACAGACATATTTAAAGAGGGTGTATTATTCGGCGAAATTATCGATCTGCTTGTTTCATCATTCTCTTGATTTTGCCTACCGCTTGCAAAATTTTTGCTCGATATATTACTTTTAATCAAATGTGACAATCCTAAAATTGGCGTTGTTGTGCGCTTCATTTTTTTCAATCCGATAAACTGTCGAATTGGCTTCATTCGTGTTTCGTAATTTTTTGTCAGAGACTTTAAATTTCTATTAAACCTCGAATGAGACAATCTGTCGCCTGATTTGATAAATTTTCTCTCATTCAATTTTCTCTTTTTGAGGAAATTTCTGCGACCGCTTTGTACCTCTAAATCGCTAATCGAACTTTTGTGCTTATGAGACGGTGTCATCAATTTATTTAAAAAGATATTTCTTCTTCTAATTTTTACATTGCGTTCTGCAACATTTTTACCTTCGATTTCAATACTCTTGTCCAAAGATCGATTATTAAAACTTTTTGTAAAGAAATCAGAATCGTAATAATCTATTTTATCAACTAGCTTTGTAATATTCGTGGCGTTTCTATTTTCTTGCTCGGTCCTCGTTGTTCCAACATTTTTTTTATCGCACATACTTTGCACGTTGCTGATTTTTTGATTGACTGACTGAATTGCGCCTAGCAATTTTTGTAACTCTGAGGATAATGGTTTAATTGCCATTAATAGAGCATTCGAATTTTCTACGTTAGACTGCGTTTTCTTCAATGGCCATTCATCAGTATTTAGACATAACGGCGCAGATGTCACGTAATCTTCTTCATTAAGAAACGAATCTACTTTAGTAGTATAATTAGTAAACAATACCTCATCGATTGATTCATTATTGTAATAAAAATCGTTGGAATGTGTTGACATTTTATTGTTATATTCGTTTGAAATCGAGATTCCGTATTTCTGATCATCTATATCTTGGCTATTTAAAATGCCATTATTAACGAAGTAGTTAGTGATATTCGGAAAGAAAGTATTATCTTCATTTGCAGATGCGTCAAAGGCAGTTCTATATTGCATTGAAATGTCATCTATAAAGCCTGTTATATATTTATCTTCGTTGCTTTCCGTTAAAAATTCCGGACCGTCTTCTGGACTTTGTGGCGTACCAAATACTTTTTTATCGTTAATTAAATCTATTTCAACATTTTCTAAAGTAGTTGATGTATATATATATTCAACGAGCGTGTCAAAAGTATCTCGGAAATCGGTAGTCGTCAATTCGACACCAAACTCGCTGCATTTCCAAGAGTTTTCGTAATTTTCACTATCTTGTTGAATCGGATTTAATTTTGCCGCAGATAAGATACTCAGTTGACCGTAATTCGCCATTTTCTTTGAAGTTACATCGTAATCCGAAATATCGAAGGAAGAAGGTGATGAAAGTGTCGACAAATCATAAAAATTTATTCTATTGCGCAAATTAATATCCACCAAGGAAATATTTTCGTAATCCGGAACGGGGGAGACAACTTGTTCTTCGGAAATTTTAGAAGTAACATCGATTAAATTGGGATCAGTTTGAAAAGTAATATTTAGATATAAGAAATCAAGCTGGGACGCCGGATTTTCTGTAGGATTTTCATTTTCTTCAGAAACACGAGACTTAAGAGTAGAATATAAATAATTCATGTCGTGATCAAATAAATGGAGATTGCCTCTTTGAAGATACGTTCTACCTACATCTTTCACATCGTGATGCATATATGGCTTGAGGATTGCCGAGGTTGCGTTGTCCTTATCTTTTTCTAACAATTTATATCGCTTAGGTATAGTTATTCCATCTACATCTGTTTGAGAACTCTCTCGAACGTTTTTCAAAACGTACATATTCTTAGAAATCGGTACTAGAAAATATCTTTGGTTAGAGCTTGTCAGGCGATCATTGAATAATTCTTTTTTAACATTGTATGAATTTGACAAATCCTTCTGATATCTATTGTATCGCCGTTGAAATTCTTGAGGACGACTGGAATTCGATGAGTCCACGCCAACAAATTTTCCAGGATGATACGCAGGAAGTAACATTTTGTTATTTAATCCTTTAAAAGCAGGATTTTGTACATTGGCCGTAATTTCTGATTTCGGACTCGCAATTCTAGAAAGGATTAGATTTTTATTAGAAGCATTTAGCTCAAGTAATCTCCGCGAATTTGGATATCGCCTGGCAATAGGAAATATTGCTTTATCCACAGAGTGATCTAGAGCATTCGAATTTTCTACGTTAGAATGAGCTTTCTTCAATGGCCATTCATCAGTATTTAGACGTAAAGGCGCAGATGTCACGTCATCTTCTTCATTAAGAAACGAATCTACTTTAGTAGTATAATTAGTAAACAATACCTCATCGATTGATTTATTATTGTAATAAAAATCGTTGGAAAGTGTTGCCATTTTATTGTTATATTCGTTTGAAATTCCGTATTCCTGATTATCTATATCTTGACTATTTAAATTCTCTAATTGCGATGACGGCTTCTCAAACGCGAGCAATGGTCGATTAATTATCTCTGTTTCCATGATCGACAGATTCGTCGTAGAATCCAAATTGATTACGGCAAGTGTTGATTCCGGGACCCGCCAGATAGGAAATCTTACAGTATTCAATGACGTATCCTTTTCATACATATTGCCCGTGTAATTATTCCAACGGTTCACAATCTTGTTATTCAAATTTTTCACATGTTTCTTCCTTTTTCGCAGATTTCGCGTTAAGTTGTTTAAAATTTTTTTGTTTTGCGGAAAGCCGCCGATTTGATTTCCTAATGACTGTCTATTATGCTTATTTATCATCTGGATTATTCCATCATCGATAGATATTTCGGATACTCTATTTCGCGATGTTGCACTTTTCTGTTTGAAGATATATCTGTTGTTGCTGCTTTCTACAAGCATTGAAAAAAAGAGATACTAGAAAGATATGCATGATAATATTAACAAAACAATTGTTAGTTGTTTATTAAAATCAAAAAATAGTCTTTTCTATATACTTGCAATAAACTTAACTACTTTAAGATTTAACTTTTTAAATAGCTATATGTTTTAAAGCATCTTCACAAATTATTTAATCCTTAATTACAATTATAAAAATTATTATCTAAGTTCTAAAGCATCTTATTTGAAATATAGAATACAAATAAACCTCTGTTTTACAACGATTGATAGAGGAAGATTCAAAATTGTTTTATCTAAAATTTAGAATCTCATAATATCAATATAAATTTTGTACAGAAATTTTTGCTTTAAATCCAAATGACCCGTAGCTAGTTGGGGGTTAATAATATATTTAACATATAAATGTAAAATGTGTACGTAAAAAATATGTAGTGTATATAAATATAAATTTATAAATATGAAAACTTAAGATTGTTACGTTTAATGAAAAAATGCTTTGAGACGAATTTAAGTTTGAATAATTGTATGCATGTACTTGGCATCTTTTTGACGATATCATCACCAATCGCGATTCTTGCCACATAAATCGCAATGTAAAATACGATGAAAAGAATAATTCGCATAGCGTCATATCACGGGCATCCTTCGCTCACTATTTACACGTACCGTCGCCGCTATTTTGCACGAATTTTCCATGGAGCATCACACAATGATTCATGAAGGTATACTGTCATGGAAAAGCAATGCACGTAGTGTTTGCTTCGACATGAAGTTCATAAAGTTCGTGCAGTTTGACAGAAGCAATATCAATAATTGACGAACGCAAACGTCACAAACGAAAGTGTTTTACGTAATAGAATTTCCAATCGATTTTTTTATTATTGCACAATATATATTTTATTAATATTCTGTCTCGTAACCTACTCGCTATTAATTGTAGATATTATTATAGTGAATATATAATATTGTCATGGGTATTATAATTACACGGTAAAGTTAACTAAGGACGCGCTAGATATCCAGAAAATATTCGATATCCGGCACTTTTTCATTCGACCGGATAGCCGGATATTATTAGTATCCAGTAATATATCTTGTTGAAATTTTAATCGATAGTTTGTATCATTAATGCAAAATTTTATTCTTTTCTAAGATATCAAGCGGGCTAAGAGCCAGACTGGTTGTTAGTTGCTGGTATTTAATATTTCATAGTATTTAAATAATATCTCTAGATATACATTAAAACATAAAATACGTTTCGATAAAAAATTAGGCTATTTTCAATGTTGTTAAAAATATAAATAATAAACAAATAATATCCTAACTATAGGGTACTTTCCATTTGATAACACATGTTGACACATGGAAAGCATCCATAAAATATTCTTATATATGCATGGAAAGTTTACGAAATGTCCACTGCGAATAATCAACCGCATGTGCATCGACAACTTATGTGATGACTGATAAGATCCTCTCACTAAGAATTCAACGTAATTTTGTAATTTTCAGGGATTTTTGCTGAAGATGACTCGAACGTGAGTCATCCAAATAAATTGATCCAAATAAATTGAATTTTATACACATATAAAATTTGTGCAATGTTTACAGCGCTTCACTCTCATATATATTTAGCCTATTCTTCATTATTTTTTTAATTGTTGACATTTTCGTGAGTACGTACAATTTTAAATTGTTATTTAAAGTTGTCTTTTTAATTCTCTAGTTGTCATTGTAATTTTCATGAACATAAGTTTATGCAAATAGTTGCGAGAAATAGTGGTCACATATATTTAATTCAAAAGTTTAGTTTAATTAAATTCATTTTTCTTTCTATTAAATTTTCTTTTTCTTTATTAAATATTAAAGTATATCAAGTTAACACACTTCATAAAATAAAAATTTAAATAAAATAATGGATTTTAGTGGACGAATTTTGGAATTTTCAAAGTAAAATATTTTGTGATCACATGATTTATAGACAACCAATCAATATACATATTGAAAAAAATGGCAGCGACCTAACCTAACCATTAAAATAATTGCCAAGTGTGGACATGTTACATGTTTGAGAGTTTGTGATTAAAATTTGTGATCGCCTTTTGTAATCGTCTTCAACAAATTTGTATTTACTCAATAATGTTTATTCATTTAATTTCTTGGATTTTCTTGTAAAAGGTTAAAGGGAAAAATTTACTGGCCGTGTATCATTCTACAGAAATTTTATGGAAAAGAGAAGAAGGTTGACAGAAATTTAACTATATTACTTAGTATGGATTTGTAGATCCGTATTGTTAATAAACTGTCATTTGGGACACGACTTATTGGAAAATGAATACGGAAATATTGAACGAGCATTTAGAGACTTTGGCCGGTCATGTGTTTGATAATGACAAGCTGGTAATTCTATTCAA